TGCTCGGCTTATTGTCAAAGTAACATGATGGCACTGAAGCTGGTTGCAGGTTTAGTTCAAAGCAGCATTTTCTTTGATATTGGAGAGTTCTGATGACAACAGCTCTGTTGATGAAGATGAATCCCAGGCTGCTGTTGATGGGGAATCAGCATTAGTACGAGCAGCATCCGTAGCTTTTGGCTACTATTGAGTAAAAGTTACATAGTGTTCCTTTATAACAAAAAAGCAAATACTGAGGCATCATTGTTTGCCTGTCTCTTTTTAACTTCATACTTTCTTTCTCCTCATGTTCACATTTGCATTTCCAGTCTTTAAGATGGTGGCAAGTCATATTCGTATTTCAACCCTTCTTTTTTATAAAGCTGCTGTACATTTCAGACAGTGAGTTCATTATTCCCTAAAATACATTTTACTCTTTTTCCCCTACAAGAAGCACAGATGTGCTGTCTTCATTTTCACACTATTCCTTCTGGTAAAGCAGTGCCGTGCACTGTCTTTCACTGCTATATTTTCTCTTGTCAGAGTAACCTAAATGGCTTCAATCATGCTGCAGATGGTTGGAACACCTTTGTGTTGGTTTTTCCTTCATGGAAGGAAAGACATGGAATCCTAATTGAGTGATTCCATCAAAAGCAGTACAGACAATGGCTGGAATGGCCTCCTTTGTGTGTTGATAAATACTCAGGATGATTTACTGTTGCTTTGGGACTGTGGGTATTAATTGATTATTATCTCTAAGACTTCCTATCAGCACTTTTTTTTCAAATAAGTCAACTTTTGTTGCCCACCTAATTGCTCAACAATACTATGTGGAGGAAGAAAAGGCTACTTAAGAGTAACCTTAAAAGATGGGAGAGTCTTCGATCCAAAGACAATGGTTACCTTGCTGCTGCATCCAGCTTTCACATTTCACTTGACTAACCTAATTTTTTTGTTCTCTTATGTCTTTAGTATAATTATCACACAGAGTTAACTTTATGTTACAATTTATGTAGGTATTTGAAGTTTCCACACAATTTCAGATTGCATTTTATCACGGCACTGTGGTTTACAACCAGCAGTTAAAAATTAATAAATCCCTAAAAACTCATCTCTGCGCATCAAAGTCACAAATGTAAAAGTTTTTTTTTCTCATGAAAATAACCCCTTCCTGCCTTAAAATGTCTTATATGTAGGTCTACACAGTTGCTTCCTCTGTAATACATAGATTAATGAAGTCACTGTCTGTTTGTCCACCCACCCCTGTTTCACTTGCTGCAGCTGTAGTACACCAGCTCAGCAACAACTTTGACCCAGATGTCTGAATCTGTGTTTCTGAGACTGTCATCAGTGCACTGCTCTGCTATGGCCCTGACTGTTTCTTTCTATGCCTGGAATGTCTTGTATCAAATAAAAAACCCACCATAAACACAAGTTGAAACCATGTTAAAAATCGTGATCTTCATTGGATGGGAAATGTTGCTTTATTTTGCAGAAAGACCATTATTTGGATTGCTACAAGTAAGGGACTATAAGTAGTACTGATTTGTAACACTACGAATATAAGCAATATTCTACTGACCATCAAAAATAAATGAATATATTTAACTAAACACTTTTGTGTATCTTCAATATAGTTTCATTTATCTGAATATTCCACTCAGCATCATCAGTTAAAGGAAGTTACATTTTGATTTCTATTTTATAACTGCTTGCAGCTTTATAAAGTATCATGTATAGTTTTTTATTTTTAGTTACCACTTGGTGCCCTAGTGAGTATTTGGGCCAGCGTGGCAGTATCTGTGGGAGTAAAAAATAAACCGCAGTGTGTGTGTGTGTGTGTGTGTGTGGTGATGAAGGAACATGTCACCCAGTCTAACAGTGAGGCTCACTGATGCATGAATCACAGTTTTGGGACAACAATTGGGCTTAGTGGCACAGAGGAAACATTAGTTAGTTTTTGTATTGGATTTTTAGACCAAGCAAAAGCATAGAATAGCATCCTCATGGTTGGAATTAAACTGCCTGGGTGCCCAAAACATCCTCTTCTATCCTTGAACCTTCACATGTTGGCGATGTACGACAGTCTGTGCCTTACAGCTTCTTTTTTGTCTTTATTTAGGGATTTGAACAAAGTAGATAAACAATTGGTTTCCCCTGCGTCCCTGCATTACTCGTTCATTTCAAGGGTTAAAAGAGCAAAGTAGCAAAGTCAATGAGGAGGAGAAATTGTCATCCCATTATCGGCTCGGAGGTGCAAAGTGATGAAGCCAAGCATAAAGATGATTACTGCACTACTAGAGGCCCTGATGTTCCATATTGTTCCAATTACAAACTGCTCTTCTCTGAGCAGCTCAGAGATTAACTGAAGTAGACTGCTAGACTCTGTGCAAAGTGGATTTCTTCCACTCTGTCCACCATTGCTCACTGTCATAATGACACATGACCTGATGAGATAGTTTGTGCTGACAAAAGGCCTCCATTCTTGCTCTTTTATTCCTTATATCTCTTTCAGGGAATCAGAGAGACAAATACATCACCCTCAGTATTGAAAGCACATAAATCTTGTTTTAAGAGGCTTGTGTCTCCTCAGATTCCGTCAGACAAAGGCTGAGGCTTTTATTTATTATCTCAATCTTTGTTTGGCTACTGTGTCTTCAACCAAATACTAGTTTTATACATCAGTACACGTGCATGTTTTAATTAGTGGTGATAAAGGTAAGCTACAAGGAAAGGGTGTTTTTATTTTGTATCATACTATTTTACTGTAATGCTCAACTCTCCCAGCAGCTCATGCCAATGAAAACCATTCACTGTATCGTATGTTCTTTTCATACCACACGAATAGTTGATGCTCTAATTTTCTTAATGTTCGCAAGCAAACTGCAAATATGCTTTAGTTTTTGGGCTCAGTTTTAAATCAAGATCACCTCAAAATTATCAGATTGAAGTTGGGTTAAATATAGTTGTGTAGTATAAGTTAAGTTACAGACACACTCAGGGATTTTGTTGCAGCACTAAATTATTGTCTCTGTCTCCTTTTATTCCATATATGCCAATTAATAGATGCAGATTAAAATAAAAGTAGTTGACAACAGAAGTAAAATGTAGAATATAAAGAAACAACTGCCAAATATACTAGCAGTATTTTTTTTTCAGTAGAACAGACAAGATGGCTAGTTTTAAACACTGTGACAGGGTAGTAGGAGCTGTGCAGCAAAACTCTCCTAAGTAAACTATCTTGATTGTATCTTTACCTTAAACTTAGCCTTATTTATAATGATTTTAAACTACTTAACATCTGAAAATTGAAAAAAAACAAGCAATAAAAATGAATACCACAGCAGACTTTTGCACCATTTATCGTGTTGTAGATTAAATTCTAAATAGATATCGTTGCCAGTTTGGCATCAATCTAAACTGAGTTTTCACAATAAAGTGAAAACATATTTTTAGAAAATTTTGGAAATGTATTAGAAATTAAAAACTGAAACCTTTCATTGTGTATAGAAGAAATGCATACATCAAAAATGATTTGGGCCCTTGCTGCCTCAGAGTTCGCACTCCTGATTGCTTGAGAAAAGAAGACTTTTCTCTCTTTTTTTTGCTGGTTTTTAGACAGCAGCAGTGTTCTTCATAATCTGTTGTGCTCTGACTCTGAGCCATTTTGTGTATAGCTGAAGAAGAAGGTATTGCACTGGCTGTGTACTCAGCTGATCACACTGCTCTGCAGGGCTTTGTGGTCCTGATCGGTGCTGATGTCATACCAGGCAATGATCATCCGTGCCCGGAAGCTTTCAACAGCACTACAGTAGAATTTCTTTGAATGGAATTTCTTTGAGTTTATGAGAAAAAAGGTGGTGCATCATCCTTCAGTGCTGCCCAGCCCATGATGGATCGTGCAGGTCAAGTGTTGTGTCTTTATAGTTTTTGTCTGGGTTTCACATTTACTTTCTTTAATATAAAATCTGTCCTAAGTCAGTCGACTCAACAGTTACTTGTATACAGAAAAAAAGATTGCACTTATTCTCATATAAAAAGTGAAACTCTCTCATAAGATTCATGTCATGTCATGCAAAGCATTGTCTTCCTTTGAATTATACTGAAATCATTTGTTGTTTAAATCAAGCCTGTCCTGCACTTTCTTTTCAAAAGAGCAAGTCTGAGGCACTGCAGCCTCAGACCTGCTGCTGGTATTGTCTTTAGAGGAGAGAGGAACATCAATCTTTTGTTTAATAGTGTCTCATTCGTTCACATGCCATCACTGCAAAATGAAGCCGTAATTACTGGCCTTAATTGATGTGGCTTTACCACCTTAGACGATACTTCAGAGTCCCCCCCTCCCCCACTGTATAGGCCCCACTGCTGTTGTTTGCACTATATTTCTGCAGCTATTGATCACTATTATGGTAAATCCGATGAGCACAATGGAACTCTGTCAGCGAAATGCAGGTTAATTATCTCAGGGTCAACCACTTTGGAATCTTCACAAAGAACCGGTCGTTCTCTCTTTATGTCTAACATTAAATCGCAAATAGAAATTATTATTGGAGCCCCTTTATTTTGCTCATAAGGGGGCAGGGTGACAGGTCATTAATAGATGACTATTATTTTCTACCGATTGCATTTTTAAAGTTTTTTTAACAAGTCAAGAGTAATTAATGTGTGTTTCTTCTGTTTTCCCACATCGTAATTACTTCATCTTGCAAATTGTGCCTGATATGTATATTTTGTCTTACTTTATGAACAGGAGAAAGGCGTTTTAACACTACATTATGTTATACAAAGGCTATTTCACTGTGTCACAGAAATAATACTTTGTACTTACTAAAGAAGTTTCCAGTGAATGCACAGATTAGATATTAAAAACTTTTCTTGAAAGTTATATTTCTTGCTCTTAACAAAGCTGTCAGACTTTTGACTGGCTTGAGATAAATTAGCCTTATAAGAAGGTGGAGAAGCCTATTGATGGGAGGAAAGTTAATGGAATTGATTGTAGATATTGTGTTTGCTTTCTGCAGGGACTCCAGTGAATCGGATTCCTATCATGGCCAAGCAGGTGTTGGATCTCTACATGCTCTACAAGCTCGTCACAGAAAAAGGCGGCTTAGTGGAAGTCATCAATAAAAAAATATGGCGTGAGATCACCAAAGGCCTTAACCTCCCTACCTCTATTACCAGTGCAGCTTTCACTCTCCGAACACAGTGAGTACAAGCAAAGATGATAACCCCAGATGACTGATAACCTGCACTCACACTGCTTCACTGACATCAGGTCAACTAAGTGTTATGTATGTGCCCTGGATGAATGAGATACTTTGTTTATTTTGCAACCAGTGAGTTTTAGATTGTGTGTGTTACTTTTTTTTTCTTCAAATGCCTCTGAAAGGTTTATTTCTTTAAATGTCGGCCATATATGTGTAAAGGAGGTAAATTTGTTTTCACCACTGAGTAAGCTGTTACTTCAAACAAGATAATTACTAAAGATTAATGTCGTTAGGTTTTTGCTAGAGCATGCATTTCAGATAATACAGGACTTTTTGGAGTCTGGTCTCTATATTGGTCTTCGAAGCCATTTACCCATAGTTACACACAATAATAATCTACACGTATACAGACACTGTATATTAAAACATGGACATAGCACTTATCTAAGCTGCATTAAATAAATAAGTAATCCATTGATGTGGCTACAGTATACAGTAGCATGTAGTTAAGTGTCCCTCAGAAAGTATGCAACAACCCAGTATCCAAGAAAATTGACCTCACTTGTCCAGGTGAAAATACTAATATTTTCCTTTTTTCATTGTCTTGAGAATGTGGAATGTGAAATAAATATCAAAATTCATAAGTGATAAATAATTGCAAAGTAATTATGGAAATGGACCTCTCTGTTGCATTCTACAGAACACTGTGTAGAGCGAGAAATAATGACACAATTAGAATGGACAATTTCTGGAAAAATTGCAGTGTGTTTCCTAAAAGCTTTTGCAGCTGCAGCGGCTTCGAGCCTTTGGCACATTGACGCAAGAAAGCTGCGAGTGAACCTCCAGCCTTCCTAATATGGATCCTCCCACTATACCATCTGAGCCATAGCTGCCAGAAAATATCCAACCATGTTTGATCACATTTAGCATCCTCCCTAGAGACTTTGCTGTTGAAAGTTGAAATACCAATAGTGGCTGGCATACTACTGTTTAGCTTGTAAATCTATTGTCTGCTGTTGAAGAGACACAAAACATATATCAAAAAAGCAATAAACATTAGCTTCTTAGAATTACTAGTCTTCGGAAATTTGAACATCAATGTAGACAATCATTAAATTTAACCCTATTCAGGACTTTCATGTTGCCATACGTAGAAGGTCTTTCGGGGTCCATTGGACCCCAAAGAAAGAATATGTGCAAAATATTTGTTGGTATTCATTATAGACCTTGATACAAGGTGACGTATTTTTGGTTCCAAATGCATGACACATGTCCCCCTTTGTATAGTTAAAAGTTTTAAAAAAAAGTCTTCAAAAATAAAAATAAAAAAAACAATACCTGTCACCTAAACCAAATGGCCTGGGGTCCAAAAGACCCCAAAAGTCCTGAATAGGGTTAAAAGATGGAAAACACACATCAAATAAATGTTCCTACAGTGAACATGGTAGGTGATATGTGACTCATTTGTGCAACATTCCATACAGTTCAGGCCTGAGGACATCTACATGCCCTCAACACAATCCCTCAACTGTCCCCATATGTACAGAGGAGCAAGGGCCCAATCATTGCTGCTTGCAGCTTTAATCTCAAAATGTATTTTTGGGTCAGTGAGAGCAGGTCATGTTGAATTACACAACTTCTAACATTAGCTCAAGAACATGACTTACTTGTTAACTACATTGCCCCTGGAAGACGTTACAGCTTTCTTGTAGCTTACAGTCACTGACGGTAACTGACGGTCTCTTTAACTAACGGTAAAAATGAATCCTATCAGCTAGTCATAAGTTTATGTTCTGTCCTTGACACAAACACACAGCCAAAAGTTCTTGTTTTTGCCCTGTGGACAAAGAAGCTTTTTGAGATTATTTGCTATATTTGTAAATTTTGTTCAGCACGTGAAATCAAATAATTGAACTGTACATATAACCATTTCATTTCTTCATGGAAACACACAAGATGTTCTAGTAGTAAAGGCATGCGGCTAGTTTAAATGGCTACATGGCTTCATTGTTTCATCACTGATTTTTTAGTGCCACTCCCAGATTGATGATTGATTGACAACATGTGACAAAGGTGCGAAGTGAAAAAAAAAGCTAAGTAAACCATTAGAAAAATCTTCCTCTACCCTGCAGGTACATGAAGTACCTCTACCCATATGAATGTGAAAAGCGGGGACTGAGCTCCCCTGGAGAGCTTCAGGCAGCTATCGACAGCAACCGGCGGGAAGGCCGTAGGCAGAGCTATGGCTCCGCTATCTTCAACTACTCTCCTGTGGGTACCCCCACCCTCCTGTCGTCACCAAAGATACAGATGTCCCACCTACCTATGCTCACTCACACAAGTGGCCATATCTCTCAGGCGCCTATAATCAAAAAAGGTAAGATGTGACAACATAAGACATAGGACACAAGCTTTGAAAACGTGACAAAATAAAACATGAGTCCACAAAGTTGCAAAATTAGTCTTACCATTTAATTCAGCTGTGGAGCAAATTAGTCTTTATTTGAAACATGCTTATGTGAGATGTTATCACTTCCTCTGTTTTAGTAAGTATATTTTAAGAATATTTGATCATGTTTTGGTAAGACATTTCCCTGTTTTTCATCCACTCCGATTGTAATTTGTTATTAATGCAACACCATCATTTATGTCTACCTGCTGTTTTGATAAATTCAGAGCATTAATTCTGTCAGTATGTCATGTCATACTGCCCACTCAGTTCATTTTCTCTCTTGAATACAAATACCTGTTGTCTTTGTATTTATTTATACTCAAGCCTACAAAAATGTTCCACATTAAATGCATTTATGTAATTCAGCTGGTAAAATGCCTCCCTTTCCTGAGACGTTTTAATGCGAAACATCTGCAGGCAGTGTTTTATTGAAAATATCAAATGCTGCAAAATACAGTGTGTGTTATCAAAGTAGCAGCCTGATAAGTATGGCATGGTTTTGTTTATGTATGAATGAAATAATGCTGTACAGATGTGCATTACGCTAGATGTACCATACAATTATTTGCCTTTTTTCACGACTGAAATTTGATGGAGGCAACATTTTCTGTGAAAAATGCATGACAAGTGTCCCTTTTCTGGAACAAACATCTGGCACATTGATTTTATGTATTTATTTATTTTTATTAAATCTTAATCTTAATTTAAAAATCCTTTTGGTCATAAGGCAATTAGCAGGCCAGATCAGAAATAGACAAATTCTGTTTCTGTCACTCTGAAGGATGGTCCATTTCCTCCTCTAAGAATACTTTGTCAAAGAAAAGATTGCACATGGTATAGTACACCGACCGCAACATCGATGAGAAATTGTGGCATGATTACCACTTAAGCAGAAGTCACTGTGTTTGCATGTCAGAATTTGATTTCACAACTGCTGCCTCATTTCCATCCATTCATGCTTAAGTAACTTGTGGGTATTGTGGTCATTCCCACCTAAGAGGAAACATCTTGCAGGACTTCCTCATTTTCCGGGACACACTAATGCTCTCAAAAAAGCGCTGGGAGCGCTCTGAATATAGGTCCTCATGAAAAAAATATCACCTGTCTGATCTGTGTAGCGTGCCATAGAGATATCAGACGTGTAAAAATACACAGCTATTTTAGTGTTGCCAGTGTTCACCTACAAACATTAAGCACATCCTTTATTTTAATTGTCAAATGGAAAAAATTCCACTAGTAGGTTAGAGTTTGTGCATTGTCATATAATCAGCTCCCTCATGTGCCTTTGTTGCTGGCTAAAGGGTTGAAGGTGAAGTACAGCGGTGGCTCCCTGTCTGTAGTACCTTAGAAAGTATTGTAAAAATGTACACACAAGCAATCTGTGACCCCACCAGACAAAGTATGGGAGTCCCATTAGCATGTTGGGTGGATCGATGATCTAACTAATGCCAAATCGCAAAAAAGTATCCTGTCTATCTCCACTGTGCTGTATAAATAAGAAGAAAACTATTCTTAAAAACTACATAGGAACCTTTTAGTGCTGGGAATTTTGTTCCTGTCATCTTTCCATTATTTTGAAGGTGATATTTGGCACTATCTGCCCATTAAATTCAGTTCAATTCAATTTTAGTTGTATGGTGCAGTTTACAACACCCGTCATCACACAGCACTTAACAGAGTAAGGTATAGACCTTACAAATTTAAACAGAGAACCCAACAATCCAAAGTTGCCTTTGGACTCCCTCCCTTGGGAAGGAACCAAAAACCCACCCCAAAGGAGAGGGGGGGGGGGGAAATCCAGCAGAACCAGGCTCAGGGAAGGCAGCCATCTGCCTCAAATGGTTGGGTAAGAGTGGGGATGAGGGGGTGGGGGGAAAAAAAGGGTAGTAGATGGAGAGCAAGCAATAGAACAGAACAATAAATATAAATATTTTGAGGGTCGGTGAAGCCAGCAGCTGCAGGTCAGGGACGTGATGGAGAGGAGAAGAGAGGAGAGGAGAGGAGAGGAGAGGAGAGGAGAGGAGAGGAGAGGAGCTCAGTACATCATGGGATTCCCCTGACAGTCTAAAGCTATAGCAGCATAACTAAAGGACAGTTCAGGTGATCCTGAGCAACTATCAGCTTTATCAAAGAGGAAAGTTTTAAGCCTAATCTTCAAAGCATAGAGGGTGTCTGCCATCTGAACCCAAACTGGGAGCTGATTCCGTAAGAGAGGAGCTGATAACTGAAGGCTCTGCCTCCCATTCTGCTTCTGGAAACTCTGGAACCACAAGTAGACCTGCAGTCTGAGAGCGAAGGGCTCTGTTAGGATGATGCGGTACAATAAGGTTTTTACGGTCAAGTGGAGCTGCTCATTAAGAGTTTTATACATTAAAAGCAGGAGTTTAAATTCTATCCTGGGTTTTACAGATAGCCAATGAAGAGAAGCTAATACGGGAAAGATATGATCTCTGTTACTGGTTCCTGTCAGAACTCTGACTGCAGCATTTTGGATCAACTGGAGGTTTTTAAAAGAGTTTTTGGGACATCCTGATAATAAGGAACTACAATAGTTCAGTCTCGAAGTTCTTTGGGTTCTTTGAATTGCTCTTTGTCTGGTCCCTCCCCCAGAACCATTTTGCCTTGGGAGACCCTACCAGGGGCTAGTGCTCCGGACAACATAGCTCCCACAATCACAGGGACACGCAAACCCCTCCACCATGATAAGGTGGCAATTCATCGGGGGGCAAAGAACCTATTCATGACAACGATGAATAGGGAAGCCGCCACCTCGCCCGAAAGTGGGAAACCGGGGCACCCTCCTGGAGCCAGGCCTGGGTGGGGAGCTCGCCGGGGAGCATCTGGTGGCCGAGCCTTGGGGCCCCATGGGGCTCAGTCCTGCACAGCTCAAAGAAGTAACATGGGGCTACTGCCCAGAGGGCCCACCACCCTCAGGGCAAAAGATCGAGGTCGGATGCTATGCTCACCGGGTGGTAGACAGGAGCGGGCGTCCTGGCGTAACGTCCCTTGGTGGCATAGACTAGCTCTGGTGACGTGGAACGTCATCTCACTGGCGGGGAAGGAGCCTGAGCTGGTGCAGGAGGTGGAGTGTTACCAGGTAGATATAGTCAGGCTCACCTCCATGGATGGATGGATGGATGCATGGACAGTCTAGAAATTCTAACTGCATGGACTAGTTTCTCAGCATCACTCTGAGACAGGATGTTCTTGATTTTTGCATTATTATGTAGATGAAAAAAGGCTGTCCTACAGACTTGTTTTATATGGCTATTGAACAACATGTCCTGGTCAAAAGTAACTTTCTTTACAGTAGAACTGGAGGCCAAGGCAATGCCTTCTAGAGTAACTATCTGGTTTGATAGTGTGTTTCTGAGGTGTTAGGGCCAAATACAGTAACCTCAGTTTTGGCTGAATTTAAACGAACAGGTCATCCAGGCCTTTATGTCCTTCGGACATGCCTGGAGTTTCACCAACTGATTGGTTTCATTTGGCTTCATAGATAAATATAACTGGGTGTCGTCTGCATAACAGTGGAAATTCATGCAGTGCTTCCTAATAATATTACCTAAAGGGAGCATGTACAAGGTGAATAATATACGTCCTAACACAGAGCCCTGTGGAACTCCATAACTAACTGTACTATGGATGAATGAATCATCATTAACATGAACAAACTGGATTCTGTCTGATAAATATGATTTAAACCAATTTGGTGCTGTTCCTTGAAGCCCAATTAAACATTCCAGTCTCTGTAATAAGATGCTGTGATTCACTGTATCAAATGCAGCGCTGAGATCCAGTAGAACAAATATAGAAACTAATCCACTGTCTGAAGCTAAAAGAAGATCATCAGTGACCTTCACCAGTGCTGTCTCTGTACTATGAGTCATTCTAAATACTGATTGAAACTCTTCAAACAAACCATTTCTATGCAGATAATCACATAATTGGCTTGCAACAAGTTTTTCAAGAATTTTAGAAATAAAAGGGAGGTTGTATATGGGCCTATAGTTTACTCAAACACCAGGATCTACGGTAGGCTTTTTGAGTAGTGGTTTTATTACAGCTCCTTTAAAAGCCTGCGGTACGTAGCCTGTTAATAGAGAGAAGTTGATGATATTTAATACTGCAGTATTAATTCAAGGAAAGATTTCCTTGAACAGTCTAGTTGAGATGGGGTCTAACAGATGTTGCTGGTTTAGATGAATTTACTATCTACGTGAGCTCTGAGAGATTTACAGCAGAGAAGAAGTCCAAGTATAAATCTGTTCCTGTGGATGCATCCAAGGCAAACGCAGTGTGCCTTGATGGACTGCTTAAAAGACATTGGACGGAAAAAACACGAACGGATCACAACTCCCTTAACCTGAATGAAAACAAAACTATAATGTTTGGTTGACCAGACCTCTTGGACGATGCTGTCCGCACTCGTGGTCCTTTGGCTTTATGTAATTGCTCTTTTGGGAAAAAACCTTAGTATGATCAGCTCCTTTAGATTTGATAGGCAGATCAGCTCAGTGGTCAAAACCAGCTTTTTTCAGTTAAGACTGTTGGCATAGATAAAGCTCTCCGTAGCTCCCTCTCAGTGACTCTGAAAAAGTGATACCTTTTAGTCCCACACGGCTAGACTGGAGTTCTTTGTATGTAGGCATGTAGCAGTCGCTCCTTCTGCATCTGCTGGTTCAAAATTCAGCAGCTCCTCTCTAAACAGGAAAAAGAAAACATGATCAAATAACTTCAGCCTTTAGTTTTAGCCTTTATTGTACAGGTAAGTGGAGAGGGAGACAGAAAAGGCAGGGAGAAGAGTGGGGAAGGACTCAAACCATGGCCGCTGCATCGACCACAGCTCAATCAGATGCTCCTGGATGTTTCGAGGACTAGACTCAAAAAAACGCTGCTTAAGACCCACATTTTTTTTATTGGCGTCTGATTCAAGTAGAGCCTGACATCCTTACTTCATTTATTACTGTGTTGTATTTTTGTTCTTCCCATTATTTTTTGACTTTTGTTTACTTTTGTTATTGTATTTTCTTATTTATTTTTGTTTAGTTATTTTTTTATCACCAGAAATTGTTATGTGTTGTGTTTTGTTGTCAACATTCTGGACTGATTTTTCAGATAGTGTACTCACATCTCATTTTTGTGATATCCAATTACAGACTTTGATGGAAGATTTAATCCTGAATGCTTGCAAGAAAGTGGTATTGGCATTTCATTTAAAGTCTGATATCAGCAAGAATTGTCAGCCTTATATGATGACATCCATTAAAATGTTATAGTCAACAGCGTCATAATAATAATACCAGTAACAATGTAAGCCTTCAGAAATTAGTTTAGCAGAAAGCAATGATGCAGGAATGAAAATGTGTAAAATGTCAACCGATTCATATTGACAAGATATAAAACAACAAAATTATGTCACGAGAAGCATCCATCCATCCATTATCTATACACCGTTTAATCCTCACTTGGGTCGCGGGGGGGCAGAGCCTATCCCAGCTGACTCAGGGTGAAGGCAGGTTCACCTGGACAGGTAACCAGTCTATCACAGGGCTACACAGAGAGACAACCAGCACACTCACATTCATACCTACAGACAATTTAGAATCACCAATTAACCTCAACATGTTTTTGGACTGTGGGAGGAAGCCAGAGAACCCGGAGAGAACCCACACTGCACGGGGAGAACATGTAAACTCCACACAGAAAGATCCCAGGTGTCCGAACTGGGATGCCAACGGGGGACCTTCTAGCTGTGAGGCAACAGTTCTAGCCATTGAGCCGCCGTGCAGCCCCAGAAGCACACAGGAGCAAAAAAAATATATGCTGCATTCAATTGGAAAGAACCTTGGAACAGATTTTAAAATATCCAGTCCGAAATATCAACTCAACTAATATATTTCCTGCTAGTATTTTAAATCTACATCTCTTTCATAATGCATGTCTAAGAATTTTTTGTGGTGCAATGAAAGCAAGGACAAAATACAGCATATTTTATAGCAGGGTATTAAAAATATGATTAGACTACGACCAGGAGCAACCTGTTTATGGCTTTTGACTCAAACTGACTTCAGATCTGCGTTGTTTAAGAACACAGAGACAGCTATCTTAACAGTGTTTTTTTCTCCAGAGGAGCCCATGATGACCAGCTGCCTACCCAGCCGGCTGACCCTCCCCATTTCACCCAGTGGTCATCATGCAGCAGCTGTGGCCAGCCAGGCTGCAGCAGCTCAGGCAGCAGCAGCAGCTCAGGCAGCAGCAGCTGTCCAGGCAGCAGCTCTGGAGCAGCTCAGAGAGAAACTGGAAAGTGGTGAACCACCAGAGAAGAAGATGATGATGGTGACGGAAGAGCAGCAGAGGATCATGCAGCATGCCCTTCAGCAAAACTTGCTGGCAATGGCCACTCAGTTACCCCTCAACATCAAACTCAACAACAGAGGTGAGACACTAAGTGGCTATTTAAGTACACAGAGTGCGCACGGCACTGCATGGAGAGTTTATTTTCTCTTTGTGTTCTCTAGGACCATAGCATTCTTCATGGAAATAGCTCTTAGAAATTACAAATCTGTGAAATATGTGTGTGTGTAATTGTGGAACTGAAATTTCTGCTTTCGTTGTTTAAAAAACAAAAAATCCTCCAGTGACTTCTGTGTACTCCCTGGCAATTACAATATGGGCCTGTTAGAGCTTTTGTTCTTTCTCTCTGCATGGCTTTGACAATGAAATATAAAAGTACACTATATCAGAGGCTTAACAGAAGGTAGCCACAGAAGCAGATTCTTCTTGTTTGAAAGCTCAGTGTGGTACTGTTTGCATGCGACACAGGTTTTGTTCTTTAATTCCTTTGCATGCAGCCAACAATACAAAGAAACGGAGACTTTTTCTATGATATAATGCCTTTCTAACTCATTAAACACAAAATATGCCATAAGTCTGGTCATATCAAATATTTCTACGATTATAACCAATCTCTTAAAAAAGAGCCACACCAATAATAATGTATTGATCTTATTAGCACATATTGGGTCTGTTTCACAAAGCAGGTTTAGTGAAAACTCTGAGTCTGTTAACAATGAAATGAGGGAAACTCTGCGTTTTCCGTTTCATAAAGGGAGGAAAACTGAAACCAGAGGAAGAGGGGTAACTCTAGCCTGTTTCACAGAGAGAGGTGTAATGTAAAGCCTCAGTCAGTTGCTGTAGTAACAGACTCTATGAACCTAACCTGGTCGGGACCAGGCTTTTCTCAATGAACTTCGAGTTTCTCTCTGTCTCCGCCCTCTTTCAGCCACATGCTATTTTCCTCGTTAATTCATTCAGTCAGCAGGCGAGTTTTGGCATAGCCTAGTTCTGCTGTCTGTCAAAAATCATTAAAAAAAAAATCAGAGTCAGTAGACTGCACTAGAAGTCCATTAGGCACAGTAGGTGGTCACTTTTTTCACTAACATGTCCTTTTGCTAACGACCCCGTGGTGGAAGGTGCAGCATTACTATGCAGAGAATTAAATATTCTTCGGGAGATGGTTATCAAATCGCACATAGATGTTCTGGCATTTCCAGAAATTTATCTTTTTGAGTGGTACCATTTCACGTCCCAGTCCATCATCAACATACACAACCTAATTCGTCCTTACATGTGCAGCATTACTAACCATAGTCATGCTCTCACATCCCAGCAGATATTGTGTGTTGTTTTTTGTACAATGTCAGAGATGCAGAGAACTTGACTACGGCAACTGTATGCAGGGCGGTCAGAAAAGTGTGCCTCGCCCTTAAACAGCTTTTCCCCATCTTTGTGGTTTTCCCTGGACAAAAACCTGTCAGAGCCATCAAGGAGGAGTTCCACAGGATTTCAGCAGAATGATGTAGAGATCTGCTAGATTAATTTTAAATTATATTCTGTTAATGACATTGTGCTGCAACCTCAGACTTGAACAATGTTTTTATATTTCATCTTAAGCTGCTGCCAAGTTCGCTTCTTCCTGCAGGATTGCACCCAAATGAAATAAATTAATGGATTACCATTCAAGCAGTTTTCCTGTAATATTATTGTGATTGCAAAAGACGACATTTAAACTTACGCATTGACCCGAGCAGCAATGTTCTCCATGCCGTCTCTCTCTGTGTTGCAGCTGCAGCAGTGTTACACTTTTTTTTAAAAAACGTGTTCAAACTCGCCATATGAGTTAAGATTTCCAGTTCTAGTGGGTGAAAGACGCAGCCTTCCGCTTCCCCGTTGCCATAGTGACTCGTTGAATCGGAGCTCCATTGATGCTGGCTTTCTATAATTGTGGTGCGTGCGCTAAACTCCAGGTGAAACTACTCTGAGTTGATGAAACTAACTCAAATCTGCTGTTCTGGAACTAGAAATTCAGAGTTTCCTATCTCAGAGTAGAGCAACTCAGAGTTCAGGATTAGACTCAGAGTTTGTTGAACCTGCTTTGTGAAACGGACCCCTGGTCTATCTATCTATCTATCTATCTATCTATCTATCTATCTATCTATCTATCTATCTATCTATCTATCTATCTATCTATCTATCTATCTATCTATNTCTATCTATCTATCTATCTATCTATCTATCTATCTATCTATCTATCTATCTATCTATCTATCTATCTATCTATCTATCTATCTATCTATCTAATTGCGGTCTTACAATATATTATATTTTTGTAGATGACAGTATACAACAAAAACATTCTCCACAATAACTATATAGTAAATATAATCGTAGTTGTAATTTGATCTAATGAACAATTCAAAATCATTCTAATTCTAGAACCTAAACTATGTCCAACCAAAGTGAATAAACACTTGATTAGAGATATTCTGTTCTCTTATTTATAATGTGCAGGACTTGTACAATACAAATGTTTGAGAGATATTTTTCTCTTCTTCTTCTTCTTCAAATGGTAATTTTCATCTGCTGCGTTTTTGTTATTCTCTGTTCTACTTTAAAATACTCCAAAGTTGTATATTAGACTACAAATTTGGGTAAATAGTAAATTGTGTGTGGCATAATTGTTCCGCTATTGTTCGTATGGTTAACATACCTCCAAACCATATTTGCTGCTGTGGTTTGGCTTATGCTCGATTGCTTCTGATGCTGTCATACCCTCCCTCATGTTGGTGAAGTTTCACAGTGTGGTTTCTGTCTCGTTCATGCAGTTCCTTACAATTTAGGAGCCATGTTGCATGAGACGTGATGTAGGCGCCACTCAGATGAATGTGGTGTTCACAGGTTCTTTATAAATTTGTTCATGTAGTTAGCCTTAAGTGGAAACTACGTGTGCAGTCACTTTTGTTGCAGTGGTCACAGATGAACTGACTTTTGCTACACTGAGGATGTTCTTTGTGGTCTGTTTTTTCTGCAGAGAAATGAGAATAAGAAATAAGCTGCTTTGTTTTTAATTATACATAACATGAAATATCCTACACCTTAACGTAAAACTCATACTATTATTTGTAATATTAATACACTGATGCAATTTGGAACCATTAAATATTCACAATCAAAACCGCCAAACCTATTTAAAGCAAAATTCAATTCAAGGTCTTTATTGGTCACAAACACAGTGATACATGGTAAAACACTCAGTGAAATGCATTGTGCACCTGTTCCAAACAGTAACGGTGCTGGACCAGGTATGATGGCTGCCACACTCACCGGTGTCATCTTGGGAGAGGTCGCATAGAGATACATGATTGCCCTGGGTGAAATGTCCCTTTATCACTACAGACACACACATCGAAGTTTATGTAGACTGAATCTCACAAACAATACTGACAGAGCACTGAATGTGTTTTAGTCCATTACTAAAAATAGTGTCAAACAAAGGATGTGTTGCCTCTTGTTTGAGTAACATTTATCAAGAATATGAGAGACAGACAAACACATTGCTGATTCTGGTTTATTTTAATGTATAATTTAAAATCAGGTGTTCTTGTAATGTGAGTTTGTTACCTGCCTCCAAATTAAATGACAATGTGTCTACCACCGTGGGTGGCGTGTCAAAAGCAGCTAATGGCCCTACCAGAGAGGCTGTCTGAGATTCTGCACTGAAACGCCTGAACCACTAATGTGCACATAGTTCATCATATAACATGTGTAATTTGAAACTTGGCTCCATAGATGTTTTGAAGAAATAATTTTTCTTGACCGCAGGCAGAATCCAGCCTATCATGAGTAAAAATGCCCGTCTGGCTGGGCTTTTGCTGCAGCCAGCGTGGCTCATGACAAGCCATAAGTCACATATGACTTAATGATAGAGGCTAAAGGAAGAATAAGGGGCCTATCTGCTCAAGTGTGATATCATTTCTGTCTGCATCACTGCCTCTCTCATATTAGTCATAATAGTGGGCTTTGCACTTGATACGTGATGGAAAAATGAGTGAGAATCTTTCCCAGGTTAATTCCCACACTGGCTGTCTGGCTCTGGCCCTCACAAATAAACACTGTCATTTAAAGATTACATCCAAACACTATTATTTGTCTCCACCCAGATGCACTTGGATGGACAAATTTGTGTTCACAGATGGTTTGATATCACAGCAGCTCTCTGAGATAACTTTGTGTGTAAAGTTGCTCCATTTTCTTTACCTTGGTAAAGGTTGTCTTCTTTTCATGTTTGGTGTCAGACCCCCACCAAGACCTTGCTCACTACTGATTCCCCTGATTAAATAAAGGTTTGAAAAAATACATTGCTGTTCACAGCCACATTTTTCGCCAAGTTTTCCAACTGCGATAGGATTCATCCGTAATTGACATGTACAAATTGCTGTAACATCTTTTGACAGTTCTTTCTCCCCAGAACTCTTTAATAAAGTTCTCCTTATCCTGTCACTCTCTGAATTATCACCAATACTCCTCTTGCTTCTTCTGTTCCCTTTCTAAATGCTCATATTGAGTTTTTCTCTCTCTCCTTCTGTGCCTCCTCTCTTGACAGATGATAGACAAGAGACCGCATTGAACCTGTCTACCAACGGCATTAGCAGCATCAACATGTCAATAGAAATAAATGGAGTTGTCTACACAGGTAAATAGAGGGGCCGTTTGCTGATGTAATTGCAGGCAGGAAATTCAATAAGTTATAGCAGCACCCTGGTGCTTAGTCCCCTACGCAATTTGATGTTTTTGCTATAAAATCCATTGTAATGAAGTGGCAGTCCAATAGAGTTAAAAAAGTTAAATATCTCAAAATTGGGCCTGTGGATTTGAGGTCGATGGGGCTTGTTGTCTTATGTGCCTGCCGTGTGTGTGTGTGTGTGTGTGTGTGTGTGTGTGGGTGGGTGCGTATGTGTGTGTGCGTGCGTGCGTGTGTGCGTGCATGTGTATGTGTAAATGGAGGTAGCTTGTGTCTTGAAGTAATTACTGCCTTTCTGCTTTAACAGAGGCCATTGTTGTCAGCATATAAGCTTGGTGGCTGTCATATAATATCTGAGGTTTCTCTTTGAGAGACAGAGTTCAGTAACCACAGTGCTGATTTGATCCAGCTCAGCCTGCCACAGGCTGACACCCACTTTATTCTATCTATATATTTGGATCTGTAGATACTGAAATATAACAGTTACTGCTGAAGGTAGCAGTTCACTGTCTTTAGAATACTGCAGATCTGCATGACAGATGTGCCGTAGATGTTGTTTTTACAAGTAGCAATAGAAAGATATAATGGTAAATAAAATGTCTTACATATAATGTTAAATACACTTTATATTGTAATTTCTATCATTACTGAACCTAATTATGTATTATCCTGAGCTGATAAATTTATAGGGGAAAACTGTACCTACATTATATTTAGAATTAATATTATTGTATTTAAGCCACTACACGTATAGAAGTGTAGCATCTTTTACACTATTCTGACAGCATACCTTTTGTTTGTTGGTAAATCAGAACACAATACACAAAATAACTTTAAATTGCACCTTAAGTAGGTTTTCTTACCAGACCGTATTTAATGAAAAAATGTTACCGACTATCTGGTAGCTGCATATGAAATAAACAGCCTAAAATACATAAAACACTTCAAGAGCTGGAGTCAGGACAGTGTGACTGTGAAGCTGACTTAGATTTGATGTTTGCTCCTCAGGCATCCTGTTTGCTCGGCAGTCAGCCATAGCAGGGATGACGGGACACCGTGGGAAACACAGCAACTGTCAGACTCAGGGAAAGACAAGTCCTACACAGTTCCAGCCATCCTCTTCCTCCTCCTCCTCCTCATCGTCCTCCTCTTCTTCACTTCATGGACAGAGAAGCTCCTCCCCCTGAGTTCCCTGTTCCTCCTCACCACCCCTTCTCACCCCACCAAGGAGGAGATCCATCCTCTTCTCAAAGACACCAAGCAGTTGGAGTTGGTTTTGAAGTTTGCGTACTTTACATCCGTTCAATCAGATTCATTTTAGGTCAGCAAACAAACAGATTGAAAAACAGCAATCTACTTACAAACTCAAGATCTTCCTGTCCTTATTCCCACTGTTCCTAATTTGAATGAGCATTGTGTTTTGAGGACATTTAACCTTTATGTGTTCACATTGTCTTTCATGTCCTCATAGACATCTATTCAGTGTGGAACAGTTTGGAATGGTCACCCATTAACTTAAGGTGCAACCTGGATGAAGCCAAGCTAAGATTTCCTTTTGTGCATCCTTATAATCAAAAGATGTAGGGGGTTGGGCTTTCTGACCAACCCCAGAAACTCTTACAGCAGATACCAAAGAAGAAAAAATGCTGGTTCAACATGTCCAGCATTAATGGTGAGCTTTAACACCATTCATCCAGCCTGAAGATGATAGTATGAATACAAGCAGACAATGCATACCCTTGGAAATCATAGTATATTCTGTAGAAAAGCAGTTTCAACTACTTAGCTTTGTGTTCTTATGAGAAGCTTATGACAAAATCTCTCAAGTAAGTCAGAATTTCCTTTGGACAGTTAGTTAATTAAGTTGCAACACACAGCCACAACATTGCTAGAAAGAGTGATGTGTATGGACATCCACAAAGAAACATTCAAAGCGAAAGTGACAAGTGTAGTATGTGGATTTATGAAGTTTTCTACTCCCTGCTCTTAAACGTGATCAGCTCAGTCTACTAAAATTCAGCAGCTGGTGTTAACTCGTTGCAAGGACAATGGAACCAAGCTCACTGCAGTATGTCCCAATCCCATACTGTATTCTAATGTGACTGTTGTCATGATCAGATCACATTTGCTAAGGGTCCCTCAGAAACCAACCAGCATTACACTAAAATTCTGCCCTGCCCCAAGTTGGCTGTGTGTCAGTTAGTTTGTGGTAATATTAATAAACACAGCTGTTAAAGGCTCAGGTGGCAGAGTGGCTTGACCTCTAATCGCAGGATTGGTGGTTCCATCCCTGCCCCGCCAAAGTCAGTGTCCTTCAGCAAGACATGTACCCAAAGTTGCTCCTAATGGCAGGCATCACCTGGTATGGCAGCTCTGTCACCATTGGTGTATGAATGGATAAATGATAAACACAGTGTAAAGCGCTTTGAGTACCACTAAGGTAGAAGGATGCTATATAAGTGCAGACCATTCAGAACATTTACCACATTAACATGCTATCAACCTAGTTATGTGTTAAAATTACATTTTGATTCTGAGCTCCTTTACAAGAAGCGTTAACTGAAGGGCAAAAGGTTTTCAATTGTGCTTTAGTGGTGCACCATACGTATTGACTACGAATTGGCTTAAAATCGAATCAAACTGAAACAGTAACTATAATTTTATACGAATTGACTTGAATATGAATTCAATTTCTCACATTACTCCAAAATAGTTGACATATACACAGCTTGGGGCATTTTTTCCACAAGAGAATGTATATTCAGAATTTTGAACACGGGTATTAGGTTTTAGAGTGCTGATCAGATGTATTAGCTACAGTTAACTGTCTAGCTCATAAGCTCAACAGAGAAATCTGACATTTACATGTGACGAAATAATTGGTTCCCAGCCACAAACCGCTCAGTAACTAATTATGCCAGATACAGCAGTGGTGTACATGTAAAAAAAAAAAAAAGCAAGGGCTGTTCACAGCTCCTGTATATGGATGTCCAATATGACATTACTTGGAAGCCCTTTACTATGGAAGACTGTTTGGTGTTGCACTTAGTAAGCTGGCGGATTCCTTGTCTCAAGAACTTGATCACAGAATAAATTATTTGTTGAGTATAATTTGTTTTCTAAGTATGAAAACAAATTATATTAAAAACAAGCTTGTTAGTCCAGATGACAAAAATTCTTTGTAGAAAAGTGTGCTTATATACATTACATTTTAAATCTTGTCCTCTCTGCCTTCCAGAGTGTAAAGTGACAGTCAACAGGTTAATTTGATGTGATGACAATGATTCAGATAGTGTTTTTCTCATTCATTAGGGCAAATGTTGCAGTCAACATTGCTCCACTGTTGTGGTTGTGGTCAGAAATACTCACTCAATCTTTGCTGAGGCTGAGTGCGGTATACCTTCAGTCTATGTGATTGCATTGTTTTTTGAAGAAATCTTTTGCAACGTGCTAAAGTCAGGACCATTACCATGTAGAAAATATTGGTGATGTGAACATAAGCCAGAAGCACAAAGCTTGCGATGCTCATGGGGAAATACAGGTCATGAAGCCTAGTGAAAAAATAATCAGAAAAATCTTTAAATGGCTTTAGATTCCAAGAGAAATGACTGTGACAGGAAAGAGTAGACCACTTTAGCCTGCAAGCTGCAGGTGAACAGAAGTCAAAGGAGGTGACAGCAGGACACACAAAGAGAAAGAGACATCTGTCACACAGTGGGTTTATATTGTGAATGGAATCTAGGTTTCTGTTTTTAGTAATGCACTTGAGTCTTACATCAGAGAGTGTCTCCCTCTTTCAGTTCTTTCTTTTATTTTTCTTTTCTTTACTTTCATAAGATATATAATATTTTCTTTGTTGTGAAGAGAAATGGGAACCAGTTTGAAGATATATGGGTTTTTAATATTTCTGTTAAAGCATTTAACTGCAGATTTTATTTATTATGTTTTATATTTGATCCTGCAAACATTCAGCTTCACCACTTTGGATGCAAAATCTTTTAAAGAGTCCTATTGAATGCAGATACCTCATCGATTTACTTGTATATAGTCATAGTATATTATGAATACAAAATATACCTCATAAATTTCATTTATTTGTATTGTACATCCACTTGAAATCAATGTTTTACTTTAACAGACCACTGGATTTTTTTTTTTTGTTCTTTTTCATATTTTGTATGATTATACCAAAGAAGGGAATATTTTATTAACACACATCTACCTCATTTGTTATAGACTGTGCCAATCACCATGTCCACAATCTTAATTGCCAGTATGTTCACAATGTTTCATCTCCATGTATTTTGTGAACACAAAATGCTTTTCAGTCAAAAGAACAAAACAAACAAACAAACAAAACAAAGAACACTGTAGATTATACAAACGGTTTGAACATGTTCAAAGTGCTTTTACATTGGGTGTCGTGGTGGCTCAATAACACAGCCTAGAGGCAGCTGTCAAAATGAATCCAACCTGCATAAAAATATGAATAGCTTGTAACAGTAAATGGCCATCACTTGTTCCATTTGTCTTGTCGGCAGTAGGACCTGAGGATGGTGGGGTAAGTCCAACAGTCTTAGAGTTTGAGATTTCCTGCCATAAATGAAGTTTGATTCTGAACACAGAAGTACAGATAACTGATCCTGTAAAGGTATTTACTTTATGTGCTTGTGTGGTGTTTTTAACAAATTTCTCTGCTAGATTGCAGGATTCAGTTGAAAAGCTTGTGTCTTGGACCCTTGAGGGAACCTTTGAGCTGAGATTATACTGCCGCACATCCTGTTTCTAGATTAGAGCCCAACAGACAAATCAGTGAACCAATGTCTCAGTCAACATTATCACCGAGTATATCATATTGGCTGAAGTAACAAGAAATGTCAAAGACATGGTAGAGGTCATTTACAAAGAATTTTTTCTATTAGGAATAGATTTCTGGTACAGAAAAAAAACAGAATTGCAATTATCCATATTCAGTCCTAGCTGGTCTGCCAGTCCATTTGGTCAAGACCTTGTTTCAAATATTTCCCCTCCTCCTGGCTATCGTAGAGATTTTTTAGACCCACAAACCTTGAGCTCTCTAGCATTACCCTTAGGTGCACAAAACATATCAACAGGTGGGTTAAGATTCATTTATTGTACATATTCACATTCTCGGGACATGAATGCATGAATATAATGCCTTTCATTTTAATGACATTTCGTGTCACGCCACCATCAGCCATCAACCAACAGAAAAAGGCAAACACTTGTAGTTTAAATACTAATGAAACCTCAAAAAACAGCCTGTTTGTATGTATTTGGCTGTCTTCCTCACTGTGCAGGATTTTTCATGCAGATTGTTCACAGCTCTTGATTTAAAATGCTACAACTAGTTTGATTTCATGATGACTGTGTAATGTTCAAGGCTGATTACTACTAATAAAGCCAATAATATATTGTGACTGTATGTATAGATGGTAATGTTGAAATTGTACAAACACAATTGTGCAGCAGAGGACAATCCTCAGCCAATAAGATGAGCTGAGCTCTTAGCTGTAAGTTGAGCTGTTAGAAGTGGTTGTGCTGTGTAATTTGTGTGTTCACTTGAAATGTGTTCTTTAGCAATCAGACAACTGTGCAGATAGATACAGCAAGGTCCAAAAAAGAAACTCCTTTTTATACAGGCACTTGATGTTGCATCTTAGATTACTGACAATAATATCAACATTATTAGACTTCTTTTTTAAGTAGCTGAACTAGATAGGCTTCCCTAGTGTGAAAAATGTGGAGCAGTGTTCCAGCCCTTTTGATGTTTAAATTGGAGCTTGGTCACCTCAGACCTCAGATAACTACATTTATCTGGCTCAGACATTTGCACATATTTACCTTACCTTAACAGACTTGCAAAGTGGGAGAAGTTATTTTAGGCACAGAGGGCCCGGCTCTGGAAGAACGTGCAGTACATCTTATCTTCAACAATGTTTGGTATATCACAAGTGATCAAGCTCATCAAGACTTATAAACATGAAACTCTGTCAATATCCAATCTTTTCCTAATTCTGACTATAACCAAGAAGGTTTTAACCACTATCACCGTTGTTTATAAATAATCTCATTCTTGTCATTTTCATTTTTAACAGTTTGGAAAGGCATTGAAAAAAATGCCCATCAGGGGAAGCAGGGGTAAGAAAGTTACTTGTTTGGACTT